ATTTCTCGGATTGACCTAGCCGCAACAACCTTGGCACTTTTATTTGCTTTTTGCTTTGAAGCTTTAATACTTTGAGCCTGCTTTGTCGTTGCTCATCGCAGGTCTTTGCTGAGTTTAATTTGGTTAAAGTTTAAAAGGGTTAGAGCCCAAGGTGATGAGTTAATTTCGTTTTATTAATATGAAGTGATAAGTGAAGCGGCTGAAATAGAAATACGCCAGGTGGAAGAACAAACAAATTTATAAAAATGGTAGTTGATTTTTAATATTTGACTGCTAACGCCGCCTTATCTGCCATATATAGAGAGTTGTGCCCATGGTGAAAAATGTCGCTTACAACATTCCCAATAACATATTTCAATTTCATACAAATATCAGGGGTAACCAATTTTCATTTAAATATTGCGGGGTCCTTTATCCATCGGTATGGCAACAATAAGCACTCTATCTTTTCATTATTAATAAAACCAATTAAGTTTAAACAACTCATTATTAAAATAAAAAATGGAACGCATATTCTCGTAAAACAGATTCCACTGAAATATCGTGTAATGTAAAATTAGTTTCCATTTTGACACAACCAAAAATTAAACCCATTTACCAAAATTACATGTAGCTACAAGTACCAGTTGCGAACTTTGGTATTATCCATTGTCACGTATTGTGAGAGCGAGAAAAGACGTGCTTTATTAAATTTGACGATGGCAAAACGAGAACAAGGAATAAAATATGTCTTCAAGAGTGCGATTTGAATATTTAATTTTATCGTCCCCGGCTGCAAATTATTAATTGGATTTGACTTATTTGAGAAGATCATTTGAATATTGTCTGATTATTGGATAAAAGGATGTATTTATAGCTTATAGATCAAAGGCAGGTTTATGTTAAGTATTATAGTGGTCAAAGTTTAGATAATACCTATTTGATATAGTGGGTGTAAATTTTGGTGCACGAGGCAACGTTTGAGGAGTTTTAAATTTTAAACACGCTATTACAACCGGAACTGCTTGTGGTTTTTAACACGCGGTTTACTTATTTTTTTCTACGAATTTTGTCGTTTTCCAGGTTTTCCCTTTTGTGGTTTTTCTATTACAAAATAAGATACTTGGATACCTACCTATAACCTTAGATACTTGGAACTGTATATACTTATAAGGTCGTGATAATTTCTCAGGGGCGGATACAGGCCTTTTGAAAGGGGGGAGGGGCAGTTTAAATTAAAGTAAGCCAGATTGGGTTAGTTTCGGTTAGTTTTGGCAGCGCATTGTGCAAGATACGGTTTTTCGGAGGAATGGCCCATAAAAATATGGGAATGGGGCAACTATTTAGGAGAATAAGGTGATTTTAAATAGGTAGGTTGTTTTTTTATATATTGACACCCCACCTACAGCCTTTACCTTTACAGGTGAAAGAAAGGTGTAAATACAAAAGTTGTACAGTTTTGGCTGAATTCTTAGAAACCATGGTCAGAAACAAAATGTGAAATTTTGCATGCTTCTAGCTTTTTTCAAACGGAATTCCCTATATTTCATTCTATATTCTTGAAGAGCACAATGCACCGATTCCAAAAATATATAATTTGTCTATATTTGATTGAACACTCTCTCATATATTCGGCTCCAAAAATTGTAAAAATAGTATCCTACTACTGATTTTGTGAACCATTCTACCTATACAGGTGAAAGCTGCAGGTAAAATTTAAGGTATGTACTTGGTTTGTCTGATAGTATTTTTAGAACCAAATATGTTGGAGATGGCTCAACCAATATAGACAAACTATATAGTTTTGAAATCGGGAATTTGTGCTTTTCGAAAATATAGAACCAAATATAGCGCATCCCATTTGAAAAAAGCTGAAAGCATGCAACATTTCACATTCCTGTCATTTAATTTTTGTCCCTGACCATGGATTCTAAAAATGTAGCCATTACTGTACAACTTTTGTATTTATACCTTTCATCTACTTGTAAAGGTGAAGGCTGTAGGTGGGGTGTCAATATATAAAAAAACACCCTGTACTTGAACAATAACTTATTATATAAAGTCAGAATTTATAAGATTTTCCACTTTTTGTGAATTTGCCTTTCAACAGGAATTATTAATGTTACTTTACCAAACTAGTAACAGAATGTGACAAGTTATTCAAGTACAAATGAGTGAATTGTTGCGGAACTTATGGGTGGACCACTGCGGGACGAGCGCAGCGAGTTTCCTAGCCATCTATTCATCGATATGTTGTTTAATTACGATACTAAACTGACTCACTCAAATGTGCGTTATTCTCATTAGTTTAAAAATTACACGTTTCAGGTGAATATCTTACTTGAATAGTTCAACAATATGTTGGTGATTAGAGGTCCACCCATAGGTTCTGCAACAATCCACTTATTTGTACTTGAACAATAACTTATTAAATAAAGTCAGAATTTGTAAGATTATCCACTTTTGGTCAATTTGCCTTTCAACAGGAGCTAGTAATGTTACTTCACCAAACTAGTAATATATTGTGATAAGTTATTCAAGTACAAACGAGTGGATTGTTGCGGAACTTATGGGTAGTCCTAGCCATCTATTCACCAATATATTGTTCAAGTACAATACTAACATGACTCAGTCAAATGTGAGCTATTCTCATTAGTTCAAAAACTACACGTTTCAGGTGGGTGTCTTATTTGAACAGTTCAACAGTATATTGGTGAGTAGATGGCTGCGGGACGAGCGCAGCGAGTTCCGCAGCCATCTAATCACCAATATATTGTTGAACTGTTCAGGTAAGACATTCACCTGAAACGTGTAATTTTTTAACTAATGAGAATAATGTACATTTGAGTGAGTTAGTTTAGTATCGTAATTAAACAACATATTGACGAATAGATGGCTGCGGAACTCGCTGCGCTCGTCCCGCAGAGGTCCACCCATAAGTTCCGCAATAATCCACTTATTTGTACAGGGTCTTTTTTACATATTGATTGACACCTCACCTAGAGCCTTTACCTTCACAGGTAGAAGAAAGGTGTAAATACAAAGGTTGTACAGTTTTGGCTGAATTTCTAGAAACCATGGTCAGAAACAAATGTCAACATTGAATGTCAGAAATGTGAAATTTTGCATGCTCCCAGCTTTTTTCAAATAGGATGCCCTATATTTCATTCTATATTCTTGAAGAGCACAATGCCCCGATCTATATTTGATTGAGCAATCTCTCATATATTTGGCTCCAAAAATTGTAAAAATATTATCAGACAAACCCAGTGCCTTATATTTTACCTGCAGCTGTCATCTTGACAGAATGGTTCACAAAATCTAAGGCAGTAGGATAGTATTTTTACAATTACAATACTGCCCCCCACTGTATCCGCCACTGTGATTTCTTGTATTAGAATGGTGAAAATGTCTCAATCAATGCTAAAAATATATACAGGATGTCCCGAATAACTTGAAGTACATGGGGATTTTGGAAACCATTGAAGATACAGGGTGGACCAAACAGGAAAAAAGTTGCGCAATCAAGTGCCTACAAATAATCTATCATTAACTTCTTTGAACTTCTTGATTATATCTTTAATAACAAACAAAATATAAAGGACTTTTCTTTACCCTGTATATCGGTTACTATTCCGAGTTCAAAGACGTTGATGACAGATTATTTGTAGGCATTTGATTGCGCAACTTTTTCCCTCTTTGGACAACCCTGTATCTGTCAAAATTCCCATGTACCTACTTCAAGTTATTCCGGACACCCTGTATAATAGAGAGGGAGAGAAGTATAATAAAAAAAAAATTGTACTGGGAAATAATAAAACTTTAAAGCCTTTACTTTAAGTATTTCAAAAATTTACATATTTTTGAAATAGGAAAACAGAACATGATACATCAACACCGTCACTTTTGTTAAATCTAAATGAATCTTATAGGCTATGGTCCGAATATAACCAAACGTTAACCAAAGTAACTGAATCGGTTGACAGATGGTCACTGAAAATTCCGGTAACTTGGGGAATGCGAATATGAAATAAAAAATAACTGACAGAATTTACAGATAAAACCAACAGAACCGACATCCAATAGCCGGTAACTATTTTGCCATTTGGTTAACCAGATTCCAGGAACCCAAGGTTCCAAAGTAACCACTTTTCCACATTTGATTACTTTCGGACCGCGAAACCATAACCCTGGTTATATTCGGACCACAGCCTTATTAAGTTAAACTTAGGCTATGGTTCGAATATAACCAAACATGAACCAAAGTAATCGAATCGGTTGACAGATGATTATTGAAAATTCCGGTTACTTGGGGAACGCGAATATGAAATAAAAAATAATTGACAGATAAGCCCAACAGAACCGACATCCGATAGGCGGTAACTATTTTGACATTTGGTTAACCAGATTTCAGCAAACTAAGGTCTCAAAGTAACCACTTTTCCAGGAATCAGAGTAATTTGATTACTTTCGGACCGCGAAACCACAATTCTGATGGTTATATTCGGACCACAGCCTTAAAAAAAAAAATATATTTTATTTTAAAATTGAAAAATCAAGTATCACTTCGTATAAATTTACATTTATTTCATTCAATTCATTGCCAAAATTGTTTATTAGACAAAACGTTAATGATAATATTGATAATGAACATTCATTAGTACGTACCTACCTATTTCTTCTTTAGAATTTTGTAAAATTTTCTCACCACCCGTTGCTTAACTTAACTCCTTGCTATCCAGTTCATAACTAATTGAATAAATACTTGACAATAATCTTTTGTATAGCAGTTAAAGTTAGTTTATTAATGTTTGTTTGTAATGCAAGATTGTGATATAGTAAAAAAAAAATATCTTATTACTAATGGCATTAACTTTAAAATAAACAATAAGGTACGGGGCAAAAGTGATGCCGAAAAAATTTAATATAGAAATTATCTTCTGCGTCATAGTATAAATCAAATTTTATAATCTAATTTACAAATAATATAGATATTTAAAGATAGCCAAAAATAAACTTACCAGTCTCGCAAAATCAACGCATCACTTCGCCGAACTTTTCCCAACTATCCATGAAACCAGCAATCAACACAAAAAAAAAAGAAAACCCGTGACCAACTTCTAACGCACTTAATTATGTTTGATTAAAAATGTTTTTAAACAAAATAGTGCGGAATGAGTCGCGCCAAAAAAACTCAAAAAAGTACACGGAATTCGTGACGCTCTTTCGAACTCCAGGAAAGTGTTTTGTCCGTCCTGAGAGGGCGCGATACAGACTGCCGTCATTTGCCGGCATTCGCGAGAGAAATTTTCGACGGCCTCCAACACTAAACACGCAAGTACAAGCTGGTGATGATACGAATATTTTTACCAATGATATTTAAGCACTAAAACACACAGTTATATTGTTTCTTCTACTTTATTAATAAATATTACCTTCGACAAAGGGCAATAATTATTATTTTAATTCTCGAAATCGTCCCAGGTAGATACATTTTCTGACATCTGCTTCACAATCAGTAATTATTTTTGCAACAAGATTTTCCTCACTAAGAATGCCTGTCATAGACAATGGCTCCTAAATGAAATCACTTAGCTTTCAATTAGGAGAAGGCCAGGATTTAGAGTTTCTGTTGAAGTAAATTTTGTTACCGATTATATTCACAAGAAATTCAGATTGGACTTTAGATGTGAGGTTAAGAGACGATTGGAGAAGAAGTTGAACCTGAAGAAAACTATAATAATAAACATTTTGTTTCTAAACCTATTCAACATCAATTAAAACTTTTCCAATCCTCTGGCTGGGAAATCCTAGTAATTGCGTCTTTCCAAATGAAAGGGTGGAGATCAAGGTGAAACCTCGTATGGCTTCTAGTGCATAATGGGACATTTTCCGATAGTTAATAAGAGGAAATGAATTGCAGAGTTTTCGAACTAATCAGTAAAACTCGCCTAATCGATTCCTTCGTTTTCAGATCAATGTTGCATTTACACAGCGTAATGATGTGTAAATAGCTGAGAGTATTAGAAGTAATGGGCGGTGATATCATAATGCTGGTAACTTTGTCATACTTAAGTTTTGTGAATTAAAGCCCTATAAATCTATTCGAAGGTTTGTTAGTTACCACAATTTAATTCACAATAAACAGAACCAAGTATTGTTTGTTAAAGTATGCATAGCTCAAAGGGCTTTTCAACATGAAACAACCAGACAGCAGGAAAATTTTCAAATCGAACATCGTTCTGCGGCAAATTGTTCCTATTAGAAGCCATCGAATTGAAACAAATCAAGAATGGAATTCCCAACAGCTTAGGAGATAGTGACATCAACCCATCCGGCAAATACCTGCGCAACCTCTTTATTCTGCTTCTCGATTTTAAGTGTAGAAAGATCAAAGAATATATCCTGACTGAGGTTAATAAGTAACTCATATTATATTTAACAGGCACTCGAATAAGTTTAAGAATCCCATCGGAAAAGAGAGGTTCACAAAGACATCATCCTCCCCCTCGCGTAAAAGCTAAAATCTCAATTCGTGCTGCACATCGTGGAAAATGCGGTTTATTTAATATCTTTTTAGCACGTCCAAAGTCTAGATTAGTTTAGACAAGTTTTCTCCTATTATCCTACTCTGATGTGGAAATTTTGGATTAATTTTCTTCGCTTTTCCATCCACAGATGCGTTTCGATCTATCAGATCTCATCAGTGTGGATAGGAAAGCAAAGAAAACCTGTGTAAGTTGGAATGAAAGAAATGATACTCTAGAACTGATGCAGTATAAATCTCTTCAAGAACTGAAAAACAATGACATTATTATTGAACATTATGTCATGCCGACGCAAGGCCATTGCTATTAACTTGTGTGCACTTGACAAGGCTGACAAATAACATTTTAATAATAACTACATAATAATATGTCTACAAGACAACACTTATTCTAATATCACACATCTCCCCTCCTATAAGCTAAGTTTTTTCGGTGGCTTGACAACTCGACCATACCTTGTCTTAGGAAGCGTACAATACTCTTTCTTATTTTCTGTTACACAATGTTTTGGCATATTATGCTTATTGACGACATGTTCAGGTCTATGCAAGGTTTGCTCTGTTGTCAATAATGTCTCGGGAACAACATCTAGATTATGTTCCCAAGAACCAGGCTGATTACGTTTTTCACTATTATTAGCAATATCAGATTCAATAAAAGTAGGAATGTTACGATTAAATTTATTTTGTGATGCCTTCAAATCAATTCTATTACGTGCAATTTTACATCCACATTCTTACACAATTGAGGATTTAATATATACTCTAAGACAGCAGTCTCAATCTCACCACCTGCCTCTAAACATTTTTTAATTATGTTTTTTACTATACTCACCCCTTTTTCAGCCAATCCGTTTGAACGAGGATAATTAGGGCTACGCGTTCTAACATCAAAATTCCATTTAGTTTCAAATGCTTCAAATTCATAACTGTTGAAAGGGATGTTATTACAAATAACCTTATCTGGAGAGCCATGAGTAGAAAATATTGTTTTCAGCACTGAAATTACGGCCTTTGCTGACTTATCTTTAATGGTAGGTAGATTCAGCCAATTTGAATGACTCATACACAACTAAATAGCTTTGATGACCATAGGTAAATCTATCTGAACCAATTCTTTGCCAAGGCCGTTCTGGAATAGAGTGAGGAAACAATGTTTCTTTCTGTTGTTTTTTTGAATTTGCCTTACAGCTTTTTATGAAATTTTCTATTTCTTGACTGATTCCAGGCCAATAGAACAGTTGACGTGCCATCATTTTTGCATTTTCTATTCCAAAATGACCTTCATGCAATAACGAAAGCATTTCTTTGCGCAATTTGAATGGAACTACAACTTTATTGGAATTAAACAAGATCTCGTCACAAACATAGAGATTATCTTTTATTTGAAAATATTTTTTGATATTTGATGGGATTTTTCGCTTGGAATCTGGCCAACCATTTTCACAATATGACATGACTAGCCTTAAATCATTGTCATCCTTAAGTGCATTCCTCAATTATGATTTCTGTTGTTCTGACATTAATAAGTGTAAAGTCCAGCAAATACTATTTTAAAGTCACGTGATTTTTCTCTATCCTTGTTGAATACATCTTAAACAGCGGTGATAGTAAAATTGAAAAAAAAATTGATGTCTAATTATTGTTCATGATATTTTTACCTGAAATAGAATCTGTCACTGTCATCAAATAGTTTGTCAAAGTTATTTTCGAAAATGATACATCGAACAAACACAACTAATAATTTTGACTATATTAACTTTTTTCCAACTCGAAAAGAAGCAAATAGAAAACGGGTACCCAATTCAAGTTCAGAATGTATTACAACGGACAGCAGATGCGACAAAAGTGAGTCTCGCAACAATGGCAAGTATTGAAATTCCCATCTGATTGGTCAATACTACTTCAGAAACGCGTTTGTAAAATGCCAGTGGGAACGTATCCTAAAATTCAATAGTAATTAACCACCAGTAGTTTTTTGTAGGTGATATCAACGACATAATCAATGAACATACGTTTTTTGCCACCAATATCACGTGACTTTAAAATGGTATTTGAAATGTTGTCGGACTTTACCACATATTCAAATTCTCCATCTGATTTAAGGCCTGTTTCACATAAAAAGGCACGGGACAATGTATCAGCAATATACCTATAAATATTTTCCTGGCTTATAAGACACAGTTAAATTTTAATTAAGCAAACGTAAACGCATCCTTTGCAACCTCGGAGTTATTGATAATAGATCTTTACGGAAAATAGCCTCAAGAGGCTTATGATCAGTATTTACTTTGACATCAAGACCGTAGATGAAGAAATGAAATTTCTGGATACTAAAAACAATAGCCAGCATTTCCTTCTCTATCTGCGTATACTTTTGTTCTGTCACACAAACTTCTAGAAGCAAATGCCACAGGATGACCATCTTGGAGTAAGCATGCTCCCAAGCCATCTTTTGAGACATCTGTCTCTATTTCAATTGATTTATTCGGGTTAAAAAATTTCAAAATCGGGGCTGAAGTCAGCAAGTGCTTCAAACGTTTTATTGAGTCTTCATGTAAATTAGTCCACTCCCAAATAACGTCTTGTCTAGTCAATTTTCTTAAAGAGCCATGTTTGGGATAAATTTACCTAAAAATTTGGCCATGCCCAGAAGCCTCAATAAATCCGTCTTATCATTTGCCGTTGGCATTTCCATTATAGCTTTAATATAGGTTTCATTTAATTTAATGCCATTTTTTGAATAAATTTGACCCATAAATTTCACGTGTTTTGATTTACTAAATTGAATTTTACTCGTATTGATCCTTATACCATATTTTAGAGCCCGTTCTAATACCAAACGTGAGTTTTGATCATGCTCAGCCTCATTATGATCAGTAATTATGATATCATCAAATTATATGCTAATGCGTTTAATATCTCCAAAAATCTCATAATTTTTTTTATGAAATACTTCTAGAGCTGAGCATAAACCAAAAGGTAATCTGCAAAATTGAAATCTGCCAAATGGTGTGCTAAATGTTCTAACTTAATTTTTAATCTGTCACGTGAGACATGAGGAACTCTTCTGAAGAGCTGAATACATTATGGGTATTGCATTTTCTTTCAATGTAATGTGATGTTCACCCGGAAACTCACCTAGTCCATCAAAAACACAAACAACTTTACTAGATCCTCTACTGAATTAAATTTAACATTAACATTAGCAAGTTTTTTCACTAAATTCAAATCGATACATGCCTGTAGGCCTAGCAAAGGAAATTGATCTTTCAAGTCAACAATAATAAACGAAACTAATGCAACTCGGTCAGCTGCCTTACAAGACAAGGAAATTTCACCAACTGGCTTAATTTTAAAGTTCGAGCTACCTTATGCTACCAGTGTAACTCGAGTTGCATTCATTTTGTTTTCAAGATCACGACCTTTCAACATGTGCACAGGCAAAACACTCACCTCGGCGCCTGTATCAAGCTTTAATTCAATTGACTGCTTACCAATCAACACTTTTTGGGTCCACATTGCATTATTGTGAGTGCTGACCATGCTGACAAATTCATTTTTTTTATTACATTGACATAGAACTCGTCACTTGTGTCACTCGAATTACTATCCATTTACTATCTTCTAACATTTGACCTGCTTCCACTTCATGAACTTTTTTGCCTTTGTACTCTTTATACCCACTATTCTTGTCATGAAATAAATCCGATTTTTTTT